TTACTTACTTACTTACTTATATATATATATATATATATATATATATATATATATGCAACGTATATATATATATATATACGTTGCAAAATTCCAACATAAAATTTCTCGAGAGTTTCGGATCTTTTAGCGCGGCCATCCTTTCGTAGTAGTCTGAGAATATTTTATGTGTACTGTAAACACTCGAATAATGTACGATCCAACTTTGCACTATTACACACATCGATTTTCACTATCGAATGTTTCATGCTCACAATTTTTAATAACAATAATCCACATTGCGCTGAATCATCTGCACACGATTCGTTAGATAACTGGATTACGAGGGCGGAAAACTTCCACTCTTACAGCTCCGAAACCACGTAAAGTTCGAGAGTTCTGCAGTAAATTAAACAAAAGGAGAAAAAAGACGGGGGAAAAAATTCTTTGCTGACATAAAATATTTGCTTAAGCGGAAGGCTTGTTAATACGCGGAAACGTGCAATCTTCTTCGCGTTTTGTTTACTATGCGTGCACGTGTATCCTTACGATCATTTTAACATAACATCTTCATTTTCTCTTGAATTAAGCGTGCCGGTTATCGTCTTCGTTATCCTGATTGTGAACACGTGTGTATACACACGCTAACAAAATTGCTTTGCTAATCATCAAATTATCAAATTGTAATTGATAATTGAGCAATCGGCAAGCTCATCTTGCGAGAATTTTTATTCTGCGACGAAAGCAAACCTACTTTCATGCGACAAAGAATACGATCTAATGACAATGAACTTTCTTAACGAAGCTAAGCGTTGCAAGGTTCTGCGGAAATTTTACTTTGCTTGCAAATTAGACTTTCTAGAAAAGGCAATAAGTCTACTTTATACCACTCATTCGTCTTCTGCGCGTTTTACAAATTTTGCAAAAATGCATGAATAACTATTGTCCTAATTTTCTTATTATTTAAAAAATTTTTCAACATTTAGAAAGACAAAAATTATGAGAATAGAATTAGATTTTATTTCAAAATTTTCTTCTTCGAGTTAATTGTAAAAGATAATTTATTATTATGTGTCATTCCACATGTGTTTAAATAGATAAATTTCCGCTTTTAATCGATTGCAGCCAAGAATTTTCCGATTATCTTATGGAGCTCGCGCAATTTCGAAACTTTCAAGAATTTTCTCTGCTATGCTCCTTATGTTAGGGTGGCCACCCCATGTTAGGGTGATTGAAATTAATTGCTATCTATGATAAACTTCTCACTCTCGCGCGTGAAATTCCTCAGGCAGTTTAGTACTTAAAATATTATAATGTGATTATTCTGTGCAGATTAGGCAAGCAAGGGTAATCGGTTTTTGGCAAAATTATATTGTCAAAAATTTATTTCGAATTATTTAGGATCTTTCAAAAAATTTAATTTATTTTGCTATAAAATCTTTATCTTATTTGAAACTTTTTTTTATAAAAATACCAAGTTACTTAACAAGCAATTAACAATGAAGTTTTGTTAAAACTAAGTTTTAAAGGAAAAAATACAAAACAAAATTATATTTTTTAGATAATTTCAGACTTTTAAGAAAATTCTAATTAAAGGCTTCGCAGAGATGCGCAATGTGAAACGCAATAAATGCATAATTTTCTCTCAAAAGAAATATTTACGTTTAAGTTAATCACAAAACGAAAACTGGTTATATAAAAAATATCCGACAGTTTCGGGGCGCTCTGTATACGAGTGTCTGCAAATACTAAACGGTAATACATCAATCTTCCGAATACCCTGCTGTCACTACAGAATGCTCCAAAAAGCCCACGAGGCCGACATTAACATCAACTGCGTGGATCCTCTCGGACGATCGGCGCTGCTCATGGCGATCGATAATGAAAATCTGGAGATGGTGGAGCTTTTAATAGAGCACAAGGTCGATACCAAGGATGCACTCCTTCACGCCATCTCCGAGGAATTTGTCGAGGCGGTGGAGGTCCTTTTGGAGCATGAGGAGACACTCCATAGAAATGGCGAGCCACATGTAAGCAGCTTTTGTTTACATCCTTTGTGCATGAATAATGCATCTCTATACGGAAAATAATAATTTATAAATAGGTTGAATTCAAGGATCATACGCGTGGAAGTTATTATTAATTGCGTATAAATTATTCTCCTCTCGGTTGTTTTAACATAATAAAAGCTGGTAACAATTTCATTAACACAAAACGGTTTCCAGCAATATAATATTTATTTATCATAATCAGAGCCATATTTCACTTTTACGATCAAACGTCGTGTAATCAAATAGAGTTACTATCATTGCATTTTAGCGCAAATGTTACATGCGCAAATAAAATGCGCAAATTCTAAGAGTTGAAATTGCAAATCGATTACTCATCGTTTCGGTTGCTTCACAAGCGGCTTTTTTGGTACTTTATTCCGCCGTCAACTGGTCTGTCTCAGCTGCAAAGGCGATTCCGGGAAAGCAAACGATTGAAGAGTCGTTCGCAGAGAGAGAGAGAGAGAGAGAGAGAGAGAGAGAGAGAGAGAGAGAGAGAGAGAGAGAGAGAGAGAGAGAGAGAGAGAGAGAGAGAGAGAGAGGAGAGAGAGAGAGAGAGAGAGAGCGGGATCGAGGAAAAAAAGTAGAAGAATGCGAAATTTCGAACAGAGGCTCTAATCGGCTTTGCCAAGAAATCAGCTTACGCAGAACTTCAGCAGAATGATATCCACAGTTCGAAAGCGGCGAACGAATTCATTATATAGGGAGAATTGGTTCCCTGCGAAGAAAGAGCCACCACCCGCGACGATGACTGATTAAGCCGATCACGTTGGAACACTGGCAACACGAGTCTGCACGTAGAGAGATTACTTGTCAATTGTTCGCGTGAAATAAAATGTCTCCATTTAGTCGACGCATGTATTGCTTTATTGTTTCATTGTCGAGTTATTGTGTCACTTCGTGTCGCTTTATTTGTTCAAAGGGTAATTTAGATCGCAGAGGTAAATAAAAAGGGAATAATTCAAATCGACGTTTGTACAGAGTTGCAATTTACGAAAAAAAAAAAAAAAAAAAAAAAAACCGGTCAATAAACACTGGTGTGGCGAAAAAGTTCGTAAATAAAAAATTGCATGCATAAAGCTCATCAAGAGCGGTACAACTTTACGATAAGTAATGACTTGCGGTTTAATCCTTCAGAGCTGGGAGGCTCTACCCCCTGATACAGCCACGTTCACGCCCGACATCACGCCGTTGATCTTGTCGGCCCATAGAGACAACTATGAAATCATAAAGATCCTTTTGGATCGCGGATCCACCCTACCGATGCCGCACGACGTACGTTGCGGGTAAGGCTTTAAAAATTTATTCAGCGCTTTTACGATAAATGAAGCTGCCGTTCACAATAAGCGATATTATCATGAAGGGGAAATAATTTTTTTTTTTTTTTTTTGTCGAAGAGCTAGTGAAAAAACGTGGAATAAATTTTTTGTACGACACTTAATTTTTGAGGAGAAATTCTCAACGAGAAATCCAGCATGATTTACGTTTCCTCTTATATACACATCATATAAATGTTTTATACAGCGCATATATCAGATATTTTAACGTACAATTCTTGTGCAGTCTTGTGAAATTTATGTTCAAGATAAGAAAATAAATTTTTATTTTATTAATGTAACTTTCGTGAAATACACGCTCTCATAAAAGTGAAAATAATTGCGATAATAAGTAACGGAGACATGTAATATAATTTGCGTGAAGATAACGAATTTTCAGATTGCTACTTTTTGACGGAGTGAGTTTCTCGAAATGGCGCAAACACTAATTCCGTCTTTGCGAGCGCTTCGGAAGTATTTGGTCGTTGATTTCTAAGAGCTCTTTTCGGGACTAATTAATCCTCTCGACCGGTTTACTGTCTTATGCCTTTGTGCGGGCGCGACAAAAGCTAATTAAATTAGCCTAAGCTACACGAGCGCCGCGTTACCACACCGTCACCACTCTCTGCGAGAAAATTTAATCTATGATAATAGCATTTATTAATTTATATTAAGTCTCATAAACCCTTTTATCTTGTACTCCATGTCGGGGAGTTGGAGAAAACTTTTCGAATTCTTCACTGACATATGCAACCAGCTGAAAGAAACTTATAACTGCTTCATGAAAATTATATCATACGGTTATGTAGAGTTGAAACGTTAAAAATAAATGCTGCTTGTATATCAGAGAGAGAGAATATTTGATGGAAGAAGTGATATTTTTTCCGACAAAAGCTGCACGAAGTGTAGAGTATTTATATTTCCCACTCATAACATAGCTTTTGTTCGTAAAATAACACTATTTTACTCGAAATTTATACGAAAAATACTGTTATTTAAAACTGTGTCTAAAGTATGTAAAATTGCTTCTCTTTTCTACATGAATTTAAACTGCCTCGTGGAAGAATGAAATTAGCAATCAACTTTCTCTCGATTCAAGTTAGATTTCTCGTCGATCGCCTAATCGTTGAAATGTTTGATAAAAATGATTGCAGTCGTCGTAAAGGATGATATAAAGTCGCGAGACACAGTCGCGAGACACAGTCGCCTTGGGAAATATTCGAGAAACGCTGACACCTAGGAGCTACAATGTTTTCATTTTAGCATGCTGTTGCCATTTGTTATTGATGCTAGATGCGACGAGTGCGTGACATCGAGGATGGAGGATTCCCTGAGGCATTCGAGGAGCCGAATAAACGCCTATCGGGCTCTGGCGTCGCCGTCCTTGATAGCACTGTCGTCTAAGGATCCCATACTGACTGCCTTCGAGCTCTCCTGGGAACTTCGACGACTTTCGTTCTTAGAGCACGAGTTCAAGTGCGAGTATCAAGTAAGCCGTGGCAATTTTTTCTTTTACAATTGTGATTGGCAAATGGAACAACACTTTTTAAATATTAATTCGTTGCATATACGACGTATCAAATTCTGAAAGTTTTGATTTCACTTGGAAAGAAATATCTTGCGACAGACATCAAGTGTCGCGACTCTTCCGCAAAGTACGCTTCAGTTTTTTTGGAATGTTTTCGAGTTTACGACTTACAAGTAAAACTGTTGAGACGTAACGGGACGACAGAAACTCATATAACATTGTTGTGTGATATTAAAGTTGGATATGACTTTAGAGACAGTTTTACTTTTAGTAAGGAGCAAAATAGCGCGAGAAAAATAGCTATTTGTATACAAAATTTAACATTAATGACATAAAATCGAAAATATTTTCTCGTCTTGATTTTTTTTTAATTCAGGATTTTGTTATTTAATCAATATTTTGATTAAATAACAAAATCCTGAATTAATCCTGAATTTTATTAAATTACGAAAGAGATATTTTCTGTTTTGGAAAACCCGTGTGAAATTTATGTATATTTTTATGCATATTTAATTATGTATATTTTTTATTTATATAGATATTTATTATTTACATAGTCATTTGCATATTTGCAAATATTTAGTTGCCTCGGAATTTATAGAAAAATCGTTAGCATAAAACCGACATTTTATATGCAACGATTTAATAATAACCGTTTGGATGAATCATTCTTAATTAACACTTTTATTAGGAATATTTCGCCAATAAACAAAATATTAGCAATTTTGGCTATCAATCTTAATCTTATTTATTACTTGTGTACCAACATTGCTAACATTTGACTATTTGAATATATTCACTATTTATATTGTGCACAGCTCGTATAAAATGTAATACAAAAAAAAAGAAAAAGAAAACTGACATTTCTCGACAAGTAGTATTACGAATACGTCATCGTATATTTAAAGGAAACATCTTCAAATAACTCGCTCGTTTTCCGAACCGTGAATTACGGCGCAGCTCCTCGGCGACGCGCTTCCTTCTTGCACGCGGGATCCCATTTTCACGGAACAAATTTATCTCGCGGCCGAGGCACTTCGGTGCTACCGTACGGCAGTTAACACGTGTTTTCCTTAATTTAGAGGTCGGTGTAGATGTATGTACCTCCGCACGCGCACCTCCCCCTCCGCCCCCTGGTCTCTCTCGAACGTTCGGGTCAAGCGCGTTCTTCAATCTCCAACGTTGGCTCCTCTCTTTCCTCTCCTCCCCTCTTCCCGCTGTGCCTAAGTGGCGAAAGTTTAAGTGCTCGCCACGCTCGAGCTACTTTTGATTTATACGCGCATAAATCGCGCTCCGCAGCAGCAATACGGGCGACCAAAGCGGCAACGCGCTATCGAGTTGCTGCTTTATAGTTTCCTCGCCACGCCCTTTGTTCTCCCTTTCGGCCTCGTCAACGTTCCGGGTTTTCCTTCCCGACCCTTCCCTCTTATCCCTGCAACATCCTCATCAGCTCTCTTCCTTTGACTCTTTGTTCTTTATTTGGTCTTTCCTTTTTCTTCTTTTTTTCCTTCCTTCAGGAAACTCCGCCTTTTTGCTCACCGCTGTTGTATCTTTCTCTATTTCTCAAGTGTCGATCTAGGCGGAGCAGCTCAATGAAGACGGCTTCGAGAATAAAGTGAATAGAACTTGATAAATTGCTCCAGAAATCCTCTTCAATTTTTCTTCCATTCTTTTCTATTCTCTCTTCAGCTTTTCCTTGTTCCTGTTTGTTGCCACGGAGGTAATCGCGTGTACGGAATCATCGTCGATAAGTTCTTGTTTACTTTAAGCACAAAGAGGTACATTTCTACTCTTGACACCCGTGAGATGACTTCAGTTTACGACATTGTCGAGATTGATGGCTGGCGATTGATGTTGCAGACTGCAATTTCGAGTAATGGCGGTCTTCTTTGGATAAACCATGTGCAACCTCGAAGTAACATAAAGCATCTATCTAGCGACCCTTGCTTGTCCGTGTTATTACACTTTTACGTCGCATATCACTATAAAAAATGAGGATACACGAGACAATTCAAATCCTTTTCTCGAAAAAGCTGAATGAAATTCTCCAAATGCTTGGTAAGCTTGGTAAGCGCTATAAAACGCTTTGAAAAATAAACTCCAGTTATTGATGTTTATTCGACGAGCGAGCGATCGAGAAATTATAATTCATGGAGATTATAATTGAACGTGCCGCGCGGCACTTTTGTTTTCTCGCGAAGTTATGAGAACAAAACTTCCTGGGCAGAGATTCTTAAGCGTTTTCGTTGGCTAACAGTGCGGGACAGTGCGGGACAGCGCGCGGGGACTATTATATCTACGTACTCGTGGATATACGTGACGAAAATTCAATAGGACTCGAGGCAAGATTGGCGAACGATTAGGATGGGGATCTCGAGCGCGCTTGTCGAGCTTGCAGAAAGCCCGGGGAGTTCGATCGGCCCGCTGGCTTTGTCAAGCGCGCACGGATCTTTCGACTTGTAATTCTCGACGCGCGACGCGCGTGGAATTCGGCGAATTTCCTTCAGAAATATTCAGGAATTGTGCGCGGGAATCTCCGGGCGGAATTAGAAGCATTATTTTCAGCGACATTTAGAAAATTAAATGTTTTTTTCCGGGAAGACACGCGCCTTCGGAATTGCACTACGTTTGGGAAAGCGAAGTCGACATTGTGATTTCAGGAGCTCCGAAGACAGTGCCAAGATTTCGCCACCGCTTTGCTGGACCACACCAGAAGTTCCTACGAGCTTGAGGTCCTGCTGAATCACGATCCAACGGGACCAGCCTTCGAGCACGGGGAGAGGATGCATCTCAACCGCTTGAAATTAGCGATTAAACTGCGGCAAAAGAAGGTAAAGGAAAAAAAAAGTAAGAAAAAAGATAAGCTAAGATGAAGGAAAAGATCAACTTCACAATTTCACAGGGTTACCTAATTATAATACCAAGAGCAGAATAACTCAGATAAGCCATTTCAACTTAAATACGCGAAAACTTATCTACACTCTCATGCGCGTGTAAAGAGCAATAACAACGGACGAAATTTATTAATAATTACACCGTCAAATTGCCCAATTATTATGCAACGCCGCACAATGGGGCGAAACGTTCAAAAATCGGTCAATGGGCGGAAAAAAAAAGTTGCATAAATTTTAATTTTTCACATATTTTTATATTCTTTACACTCTAATCTATCTAAAAATATGTTTAGAGCATTTATTTTTATTGATATTTGTACTAATAATAATTAATGAATTTAGTATTTTGAAGAAATAGTGAATTTACTGTAGATTGTAGCTTGAGTTTAAGAACTCTCAGATTGAAAATAGACGAAAACTCTTGTCAAATTTCTATTACAACAAAATAAATATGTTCTAAAGATGACATAAATATTATTTTTATGTTGTCAAATAATTTATTATACATGATATTTATATTTCAATACATGTAGTTAAAGAGAATTAAATTCAAATGTTTAAAGTACCAAAAAGTTTACGGTCCAAAACGGTCCAGACTGAAATATACGTCAATCTACAGAGCAAAGTATGTAGTTTCTTAGCATATACGTTTTGTATCCCCCTTCGTCCCCCTTTTGCAAAAAATTTCTAATTAATGTTAGTTCGATGCGGCTAGTAGCGCCTAACTGGTTCATTTTCTTTTGAAATTTTTAAATTTAATCGCGAAATCTGATGCAAACTACACTTTGTTTTGAACCATTGTTATGACTAACAATTTTATATAAAAAAATTGATAGAGAAAACAAAAGTTATTAATTTTTAAATAAATTTTTTATAAAGTAAAAAATTATAAACTAATTGTACCGCATCAAATTTCAAATTTTTCTTTACGATAAAAATAATTATTTGTTGATTACTTCTCAACTCTTGCATTTTTTTTTTATGTCTTCCATTGAGATTTTGAAATTTTCGATCTATTAGACGGCATGCGCGATGATCTAAATATTCAGTATCTTGTCTGAATGAGAAAGAGAATTTCTTTATTACACGAAAAGAATTTTTCTGGAAAATAATAACACATATGATATATGCGCATAATAGTAAATAAACATAGAATGATGTTTTTTATCTCAGCAAGTTGGAAACATGTAAAAATCAAGCAAAACTCCGCATTTACACACCACTGAATGGATTTTAAAGACATTGTAGGCATATAATGTAATATTCTTTAGAGATCGTTGCTATCACGATCAAAAGTCGAGGACATGTTTATTTATTTAATTGCTTGCCTCGAAAAGTTGTCATGAGCGACAAAATGTGGACCCTATCAATAACTAATCCGGGGGGGGGGAAGGGGCAATAACTAATCAGATTCAAAGAAATCGCGTCGTATAATTGGCAGATTAGAGTGATTTTTTGGGTGGGTAGGGATATGATAACTCTCAGGAAGATATAAAAATCGCGAAATCGCTCTCAAAGACATAATTTGTTGAGCTCCTCGGACAATAACCAGCAAAAAGTTAATTTATACTTGTTTGACTTTACTCGTATCTTACTCGACTGTACCGTAATTGACTCGTATCTACATTATGAATAATTTCAAAACAAATGGTGATGTATTTACCTTTATACGTGATAATAATCTGAACAAATATGACTGCAATGCCGTGACAGATGTCATCCTAAGAACTCTCAAGATCGAATTATCTCAATCTGCTTTCGAAGCATCACGATCTAAATTTTCAAATTTCTTGAAACATTTCAAAGCAAGATGGGCAGCAAGTAGATATAACGTTGAAAAATTTTGTAAAAAAAACGAGACATGGTTGAATAGTAAATTCTCATTCCCAGACGAGATACTACGGTCAATTCCAAGTTCATCATGCACACCGCCTAATAGATCAAAGTTTTTTGAAAATCTAAGTGAAAGACATAAAAGAAAAAGAACTCAGGAAGCAAGAAATAATCAAGAAATGGTCGATTTCATTGTAAAAAAAAAATTGAAATCTGATGAGGCGCAATTTGTTTACGATTTTGTTCAAAAATATCCAGAACATGTTGAAAAAGTGAAGCAATTCTGTGAACAACTATTAGATGGGACGGGATCTATTGACAAAGAGACTGCGTTGAGTACTTATGTTTCAGCGAAATTAACACGAAATCAATATAATATTATTCGTGATGTTACAAAATTTGAATTTAGAAAATTACCAAATTTTGCAGTGCAATTTTGCAGTGCAAAATGTTCGACTTATTATTAAATGTCAACTACATGATTATTTAATTTGACAATAATAATTGAGTTATTATTAAATTATTTGATATTTTAGGAAGATTAGAACTGTTCAGAGATTGTTATTCTTCAACAAAAAAATTAATTACACTGTAATAATTCTTTTTTTCTTTATTTAAGTGAATGAATTTTGCTATATGTCGATAAAGCATTTGTTAGCTGTATAAATTATTTTAATTATAATTAAATTGATTTTTTAGTTTACAAACTTGAAGTATATTATTCTTAGTTAATATATACCAAATTTCAAGTTTTTATTGAAAAATATTAAAACTATACGTCAATGACCGCGAAAAGAGGTATTCGCCCCACTGTGCGCCGGCTAGACCGCCGATGCTTGCCGATCCAAACGTCAGTCGGCTGTCAGCCGGGTATAAAAGAGGCCCAGCTGTACGCCTTCCCACCAGATCCTGTTCGCTGCTCGACAGCGAACATCCGATCTTCTACGAGCGTTCTATTTACCAAGTATTTTCCGCCGAGAGTACTCGGATTCTATGCCCACAGGCTCCAAGAGCACGAGCGTTCTCGTATTCCGCCGAGCGTACTCGGCTCCCAGACCCGCTGTCTTACAACAAGATCTATAGAGAGAAGGTTACCTCAGGAAAACCGGTTGTTGGCGAGGGACGATGAAGTAAGGGGGGAGTTAGAAACAGCTTGTGGCGAGGGGCGATGAAGGAAGGGGAGAGCATGATGATCTCATCGACAAACAGTAGCTGTCTCTCTCTTTCAAAGTTCTTCCT